GTGGGCTGAAATAGGGTCCTAAATGATGCCAAATCACGAGGATGATCACAACCATGCATGCTAGAGGTCAACATGCTCAAAGCTTACAAGCCAAAACACAAAGGGGGGACATCAAACAAGGCAAGAATGACTGAAATGCATAGCCACCAGACCTTAAACATGATAAAATAAGACCAATACTTCCATGGAACTAAGCCAACACAAGCAAGAATCATGGCCTAAACATGAGACACCTTCCTAGGCCAAATAGGGGGATGCAAAGCAAGTATACTAAGCATGCAAAGGGCCATAGATCCGGCCAAAAACAGTGATCCCACATGACCTAAAAACACCCAAAAAGTTCTGAAATGAGGCAAAAAACAAGCAAGCATGCATGTTACCCTTTTGGGCCAAAACTCAAGGAAACAAGACAATGAAGGGAGAGGGGTGTCCCTCCCCTATGCAAGACTTCAAACCAACTTTTTTACCCCTAAAATACACTGATTTTCAGTGGTGTAGAGATCAAAACACTTAAGCAAATAAGGCCTTACCAAAGAAGCAACAAAAGGGGCCAAACAAGGCCTAAGGAGGTGAGTTCGAACTCAAACCACCAAAGGCCCTTAATGAAAGTTCTTAAGCATGAAAATACAAGATTTTTTTATGTTATGCACAAAAGCTAAATCAGCAAGCAAGATAGGTAAATAACTATTGCAAGTTTGGGGAATATAAAGCAAGATGCTCACCCTTGAAGAACCTTTGAAGAAAAAATGGTCTAGCCCATTTCTTTTGATCAAAGCCAGTCCAAAAACTCAAGAATCAACCCCCCAAGTCCCTCAAACTCGAAGCAAGGTGTAATAGTGTGTGTAATGGTGCAAAAGTAAGGTAAAATCACACTTTTGGGCCAAATAACACACACAAAGGAGGAAGGGGAGGGAGATATAGAGATAGGATATATCTATATCTCTAAGCTCTGGTCTCTTTCTGATTTTTCTAACCTAGAGCCAAGAGGAAAGCCTTCCTCTTATAGAACTCCCTCTTGCAAAGCTTATGCAACAAGCTTACTTAGAGGGAGATCCCTCCATACACGTGTATGAAGGGAGGCAGAGTTGGTGCCAGCTATCACAGCTGGCACAAAATATCTCCATAAAGTGAATGAACAGTGGTCGGCTGCCCAAAAATGTTATTTCGACAAAATTTAGTGCCGACCGGCAACAAAAAGTGCCGACCGGCAACAAAATGTGCCGACCGGCAATAAGAAGTGCCGATGGAAACAAAAACCAGCCGGTGGCCTCTAGCCACTGCCGGTGGTGTGTGGGGAGGCCTCACAAGGCATTCCCTGCCCCTCCAAGGCAAGATGCAAGTGTTTGGTGCAAAACCAGACACTTAACGGTCGAAAACGGAGATCCTGAGGCAAGGCGCGCGAGCCGAGACCTCCGGGAACTCCAAATGAACACAAACATGGATGATCACCGAGTATCCAAACGGTGACATCCAAGTCTTGAGGACGGTCAAAAATGGGGTGTCTACAGGGAGATACGGCAGGTGCCAGGTCTTTGTCTTCCAGTTTCAACTGTTTGAAGGTTTCATAATACATTATCTCATATGAGCTCCCTTGGTCAATCAAAATTCGCTTGACGTCGTAGTCCTTGATGCGGAGAGTGATGACCAGTGCATCGTTGTGAGGGCAGTATATCCTTGCCAAGTCTTTGTCTGAAAAAGACATGACGTTCGTAGCCTCTGTTCTCCCCTTTTTAATGGTGGGTTGTACACTTAATACCTCCCTTAAGTGCTCTGCCTTCTTTATCATTCCCCTGAGCTCACATACTCGCTTAGGTTCAAATACCCCATGTATTACGTTTATCACGCCTTGAGGTGGGGTGTCGATCGGCTTTCCGTCTGGGTGATTGTGGTTCTGGGCGGCTGGCTGCGTCCCTCCCTCAATGTACTGGTCTAGATGCCCGGCTGCCACTAACTCTTCCAGATGCTGCGCAATTTTCAATGCGGTGCCCTTTTTCCTTATGGAAGGTGCACCGCGATCTTTCGTCATAGTCCTTCTGTGCCTCTCCCAATTTAGCTGGTCATCTGACAAAAGGTTCATCGCGTATCTCACTGAGAATCCGATAGATCAATTTTTTGAAAACCGTGGTAATGGCAATGCGGACTCTCAACCACCTCTTATCTTGGTCCTCTCCGTTGTCCCGCCTGCCTCGCCCGTTTCTGTTTGGACGTTCTACCGCGTTGACTTTTGCCGAAGTCTTTTTATCTGGTATTGCGGTTGTACCAGACTTCGTTTTAGCACGGGCGCCATCCTCTTCCACCCGAATGTGCTGGTGTAGCCTCTCCATTAAGGCTTCCATTGTGAGGGGGCATCATGGTAATTGAGTCCCTCAGCCTGTTTCTGACTGGAAGACCCCTTTTGTATTGCGCGATGGCGAGATTTGTGGGGTAATCTCCTATCTGGTTGAAGGTCTCCCAATAACGATTGTTGTAGGATCTCAACGTCTCCTTGTCGCCCATATCAATGGAGAGTAGCTGGTCGATCTCTACCAGCGTCTTGGTGTTCCTTCTAAACCTTGTTACAAACGCCTCTGCTAATTGCGCCCAGGAGGCTATGCTGCCTTCTGGTAGCCTCTCGAACCTGGTTAAACCTAGGTCGCCAAGGCTGGATGGGAATAAGATGCACGTCAAAACCTCGTTCCACCGGTATACTACCATGACCTGGCGAAAGTGGCTTAAGTGCATGTAGGGGTCTGTCTTCCCTTCGTAAGTCGTAAATTTAGGCTAGATAAAGCCTGAAGGTAATGGTGCATTCTCAATTGCCGAAACGAACAGCGAGCTGTGTAACCTTGCCAATGCTTTATCTGTTGGTTCGTAGGCCAAGTGCGGTATTGGCATTCCTACCTCGACGCTCCCATGCGTCCGAGGAGCCAACCGCTGAAGGGCTGAAACTCTGTGCGGGTCGCGTGCCCTGGCATCTTCTTTCCGTCGTGCCCTTTCTTCAAGCACAGTTCGTAAGTCAGACGATCTAGGCAACTCTGTTTGCCTAGATGATGTTTGGTGCGTATGTGAGGACCGATCGGTGCTTCCCTCAGTCTAAGACCTCAATGATCTCGTTCTCTCAGACCTGGAGTAACGAGTTCTGGAAGTCCTTGATTGAGTGTCGCCTATTCTGAGGCTCTTACTCTCTGCTTGCGATGGCGTGGTATGCCTACCACGATCTTCTGACTGGCGAGAAGGCGTATTACTTTTGCGCCCCTCTCCTGTCGCCACCCCCTTCCCTTTTATCTGGCGCTTCATCAATTCCATGTCCGCCGCCATCTTCCTGATTAACTCGTCCTGCTCCTTTACCCAATCCTCCAAAACTTGAGGGTCGATCCTCCGCCTTTGCCTATCAGGACTTGATGAGCGACAGGGGCTGTTACCCCATCTCCCCCTTGCATCCCTCCGGGGGTTCTTTCGCTGGGGCTCTAAATCTGCCATGGGAGGGATGGAAGGCGAACCTTCGCGCCTCCCACCTCCCTCTGGGGTTTGTCTGTTAATGGGGGACTGTGGCAAATCGTCATTGTGCGCCATTGCGTCTAATCTAGCAAGGAAAACTTTGATCAAGAGGTTTTGTTCTTTCTGTGATTCCCACAGACGGCGCCAATTGTACAAGCAAGAAATAATCTTTTCGTATAATCCTGTTGATTAAGTCCGCACTCCTCCAAACGTCGTCGCTTTATTCCCTGAAAACACAAACGTGAGCTAGCCGGCAGATGTGTGCCTGATACTTCTCCGATGCCTAAGTCAGCAAAATAGACAAATAGACAAAAGCTCTGTGTATTCGAGAATCAAAGTTGTGTTACCTCTCCATAGGTGATGTTATGAGCTTGTATAGGTTCTGCGTGGCACAATCATAGTAGGACTCTTATTCCTCCATGCAGAGTCCTCCTAGGAATCACACTCCTGAAGGATAATGCTTATCCTTCAACACCCCCCTCACTACTTAAACCAAGTAAGATGGTTTTACTTCGGTTGGATGTCAATACAACCGAGTTAACATGACCATGCTAAAGCTGCAAACTAGACCGAGCTTCAACTAGCTCGGTTCTTCCTTTCACTGCGTGCGCCTCGGTTTGACATACTCCAACCGGGCTGTTCATTTAATATCGAGCTAACCAAGCTTGGTGCTCCAATGCACAACGCCAAGCTAGCTAAGTTCTCGTGCAGTTGTACCTCGGTTTCCTGTTGAAACCATGCTATCCATAGTGTGCCTAGACCGAGCTATTAAACAGCAAGGTCCTGAGAAAAGGCCCACAATACCTCGGTTCAACTTAGTTTGACCGAGCTTACTTCTGCCGCTCTGACCATGCCAACCGAGCTAACTACAAAACTCCTTTGGACCGGGCTAACTTTAAGGCTCTTTTACTCAGTCTTTACTGTGGCCTACAGAATGACCCATTACCCAGCTCGGTCCAATGTACACATAAATCACCCTCTCACCTCTCAATAAAAGAGTCTCATCTCCTATTAACTTTGCTGGACGTTTTGAATATTTGTACATTCAAAAAATAAAATAAAAAATAATCATGTGACAGCTTGTTTAATCAACAGTTCAACTTTCTTTTCATAAATTATCACCAAACAAAATCTTGAAGGATTATTTGATTGAATGGATCAGAGCGTAAAATTTGAATTTTTAATTTCACATTAAAATTTTATTGAACAAAATTAACTGATTTTTTAATTTTACAACTAATAATACAAAATGAATATATAATTGAAGTTATATATTTTCATATATATTATAAAATAAATGTGAATCATCTCATTATTAATTCTGTTAATTAAATAGGACCTGAGTTTAAACATTCTCCGCACAATGTAAATGTCTTCAAACATGAAGAGGAGAAATTACACACTTTTGCTGAGTTTAAACATTCTTGTGATAATATTAGATTTTTTGTGATTAAAAAATATTTTGATGAAAAATACGTAGCATTATTAAAAAAAAAAAATAATGAATTACAAATTATCATAATTTTATTAAAAAATTAGGTAACATTACTATAAAAATACATAATTTACCCCCAAACAACTACATACCAGAGTATATACCCTAACCTGACCCATATTTGACAAGTCCAAATAAACACCACGTGATTATTTGTTTTCATTAGTATACTGAAGTAGTAGACATGATTCAATCAAAGACCGCTGTGAATGGTCCCCTTCGAAGTCTTGTGGAGGATGGAAAGCAACTCATGCGTCCACGCCGATGTACAATCCAATAATGTTATTCATCAAAGGTTGTCCTTGTCTTTGTTCGTATCCATCTTTGTTCTTATGCTTAATCATTGACTTCAATAGTATCTATAATAAGGGAAGAATTACACATAAGTGGAATCACAAAAATTATTTATAAAAAAAAAAATTTTTTTGATAAATATTAATAATCAAAATGATCAATATTTTCACATTTTTGTAAATATTTTTTGCGATCCCACGTATGTATAATTCTCCAATAATAAACTATATCTTAGATATCAGGCCATTTAAAAATTAAAAAAATAAAATCAAGACAAAACAAGAAACCCAATTAATAATTTTAAGATATTACATACGTGATTATATTTTTTTTTTATCAGCAAAGAAAAATTTCATTAATCAACATGAAATTAAAGGTACATGAAGATGAAATGCACTGAGAGAGATTCGGACAGTACAAAATACCCCTACTACTGGTACTCGCAACCATACTACCAACCCCTTGGCCTCACGATTTTTTTTTTTTAAAACAAAAAAATGTTAAGAAGAACTTAACAAAAAAAAAAAAAAAATACATGATTTCCTACAAAATCAACCCACCAAAACACCCAAACTGCTAAAAAAAAAACCTATTCTAACACCCAAGTTGGTAACCCAAAAGTTTTAAACACCAACTGCACTCCCAATGCACCTGAAAATTATATGTATTTAATTATATTATAATTTTGGTGAGTGCTTGAGCCCGACATCCTTCTTTTCTTGTTCTTCTTTTATTAGAACAAATATAAATTATATCTAATATCCTTCACAAATTAGGCATACTAAAAAAAAAAATTTATTATATATATAATCATATAAAATTATAATATAATTAAATCGACGAACACAATGCAATATTTATGTACTAATTACCCGTTACCATACTTCTTAAATGTGCGTGTGTCCTATGCTCCAATGATGATTTTTTATTTTATAAACCATTACTCTGATACCATTTGTCATGACCCGCTCCCCGTACCCAAGGGTTAAGTATCGTGATGGCTAATAACTGAGGTTATTTACGGCCAATTCTTAGACAAATTAATAAATACAAGCGGAAGAAATATTTAATTAAGGGTACGAAAATAATCATTGGAGTTTCTATTTTTATTACAAAATTTATTGACCAAAAATGTCGATATTTACATATAAAAATATATCGAAAAGTACTGTGTGGGTGTCTACTCCGCAACCCCGCATCCAAGACTTTCCAAAGGCTATTTCTGAAGTGCATTGATTCCTGAAAATTGGTAAACAACTATAAACACATGGCAGAGTGAGAAATATAATACCAAGAGTATAAGAGACACGAAATAACCATGGATAGTGAGTTAGGCCAAAACATTTATATAAATAAATCCTTTGAGTAGCAGAAATCATTTGAATAACAGAACTGAAACACATAGATTATGTAAGTAAATAGCCATAACCACGGTACAGAACAGAACAGAACAAAACAGAGGTCACAGAAGTGACAGTCAGAACAGAGGTACGGATTCAAGAGGTGGCTCGTACGGATTCTAGAGGTGGCTCCCACAATAGTGTAACACTTAGTTCCGCACAGCACTTTGGTCCACACAGAACAGAGGTACAGATTCAAGAGGTGGCTCGTACGGATTCTAGAGGTGGCTCCCACAATAGTGTAGCACTTAGTTCCGCACAGCACTTTGGTCCGCACAAAACAGAGGTCAGTGGATCCATGACAAACAGAGGACCACAAAGTGGTCAAACAGAGGCCAATGGTTATTTAAGTCCCCCAAGGCGTGGGACTCCCGTGGTGGTACTTACAAAATATAATTTTATATAAGGTCATAACTAAATATTCTTTAAAATATAAACAGACATATCCATGGGTTTCCTTTTAAGGAAATAGGGTTCAGAAGATAAACCACGTAACTGAAACTTTTATAAAACATAACTTTTATTAAAAACATAACTTGTATAAAACCGATTTTGGTAAGTTAAAACATATGTAAAATATATTTTGGTGACTCAAAATATATTATAACTCACCTTAACTTTAATACCTCACTCTTCCTTTCCACTATCAAAAACCCTTTCACCTTCCATTATTTCTCCCTTCTTTTCCTCCCTTTCCCTTCTTTCTTTTCTCTTCTTTTTCTTTCTTTTCTTTCTCTCTTCCTTTCTTTTTCTTTCTTCCTTCCGTTTTCTCTCCAGGCGCCTCCGTATTTATAGGGAGAAAAGCCTTACGTGGCGGATTCAGTAATAATTATATAGATTCGTTCTTATCTTTAATAAATATTTAAGATAATTATCTTTTAACCTAATATTTCAATACAATTATATAAATTAATCAATTCTTAATTAAATTACACGTTATTACATATTAACAGAAAATTAATTATTTATTTTATTATTATGTCCATTATTATTTTTGTTATTTATGTTATCTATATTATTATTATTTATATTTTGACCCCTAAACTTTTAATAATTATATTATTTTACAAAAATTACACATAATAATATATAATAAATTATATATTTTCCGAACTGAGATTAAATAATATTAGTATAAATTCTAGAGAATAATTAAAAATCTGGGTTGTCACACTATCAATATTTCCTTTTGTTTGTAGATGACTTCATTAGATTTACATGGATTTTTCCTTTATTTGTTAAAAGTGAAGTGTACTCTACATTTGTTCATTTCAAGAATTATGCTGAGAAACAATTCAATCTCTCACTCAAAATTTTTCGCACGAATAATGGTAGTGAGTTTGTGAATCATAAAATGCATGATTATCTTGCCTCTCATGGTATCATTCACCAGCTTAGTTGTTCTTATACTCTTGAACAGAATGGCATTGCCAAAAGAAAACATCAACATATCACTCAAACTGCTATTGCTTTGTTGTCTCAATTTTCTGTCCCTCTTGAGTATTAGTTTGAGGCCATGGCTACTTTTGTGTTTCTCATTAACAGGATGCCCAGTCTATCTCTAGGTCATTCATCTCCTTATCAATTATTGTTTAAATCCATTACTGATTACACTTTTCTCAAAGTCTTTGGTTACCAATGTTTCCCTTGGCTTAGGCCTTACAATTCTAATAAACTTCAACCCAGGTCCACTCTTTGTGTCTTCTTGGGATATCATCCTTCCACTAAGGGCTACAGATGCTTGGATCCCAATACAGGCAAATTTTTCCTCTCTCGACATGTCTTGTTCAATGAGAGTTGTTTTCCTTTTGCTCACACTACTGTAGTCCCTCTTACTTTACCTATCATTTCTTCTCTCTTTTGGTCCTCTGTCCCCTTTATTGTTCAGTCTGCTACTACTCAGCTTTTTCCTGCTTCTTAATTCAGCCCTACTGTGTCTCGGTTTCCCACAACTCATATAGCTCCTCAGTCTACTCTTGCTCCATCACCATATGCTATACAACCTAATGCACAACCTACTACACAGTCTCCTGCTGTCTTTCCTTGTGCATCTTCTCCTACTGTTGCTTAGTCTATTTTAGCTTCTATTTAACCATCTCCTGCTCCAACCCCTGCACCTGTTTCTATCCCCATTCAATCTATCTTTATTGATCTTCCTTTTCCTTCCTAATCTCTTTCTAATGTTCATCCTATGCTCACCAGGTCCAAAACTACAGCTCTTTTTACTCACACTCCTGATCTTACCCAAACAGAACCTGTCATCACTAAGTTGGCTTTTCACTCTCCTATTTGGTTTCAAGCTATGTCTGACGAAATTCAAGCTTTCCATCATCAAGGAACCTGGTCTTTAGTGCCCTTTCCTTCTTACAAGCTTTCCATTGGCTGTAAATGGGTTTTCAGAACCAAAAAGAACTCCGATGGCTCTATTGCTTGCTATAAAGCTTGGCTTGTTGCCAATGGCTATCATCAACAAGAAGGTATTAACTACCATGAGACCTTCAGTCCAGTGGTTCGTGTGCTTTTGTGCCTAGCCCTTTATCATTATTGGCCTATTAAGCAATTGGATATCTCCAATGCTTTCTTATATGGAACTTTGGAAAAGGAGGTGTATATGGATCAACCCCAAGGTTTTATTGATCCTCAGTACCCTTTGCATGTCTGTAAACTCCACAAGGCTCTTTATGGCCTCAAGCAGGCTCCTAGGGCATGGTATTATACATTTTCTAAGTTCTTGCTTGGGTAGAGGTTTCTTCTTAGTCATTCGGATTCTTCTCTGTTTGCCAAGACTACCTCTACTTCTATTACGATCATTCTCATCTATGTTGATGATATCTTGCTCACTGGGAGTGATTTTACTCTCATCAATGCTTTTCTTGTGCAAATACAAGAGGTCTTTTCCATGAAAGAACTGGGTCTTGTCTCGTATTTCTTAGGCATTTTAGTTCAATCTCATTCTCATGGCTTTTTCCTTTCACAACAAAAATATGCTGGTGAACTATTGTTCAAGGCAGGCATGGTGGATTGCAAGCCTAGCTCCACTCTTATGGCTCTCAAATCCCCCTCTGGTATTGCTGTCGATTTGCCTTTTTTCACAACCTTCTCTTTATCGCAGCCTAGTTGGTGGTTTACAATACTTAACTATAACCAGGCCTGACATAGCTTTAGCTGTTAATCAAGCCTGTCAGCATATGCACTCTCCCTTTGTTGGCCATTTTGCTGTAGTCAAAAGGATTTTTTGATATGTTAAAGGCACTTTACCTCAAGGTCTCTCTTTCACACCTGGTCCTTTTCTTCTTCATGCCTACACTAACTCTAATTGGGTTGGAGACTGTGTGGATCGCAGATCTACATCAGGCTTTTGTGTGTTTCTTGGTCCCAATCTTATTTCCTGGTCTGCTAAAAAGCAGGCTACTATCTCTAGGTCCTCTACTGAGGCTGAATATCGATCCATGGCTCATATTGTTGCTGAGTTATGTTGGCTTCAACAGCTGCTCAAAGAGTTGTCCATCTCTTGCTCTTCTCCACCTGTTCTTTGGTGTGATAATGTGTCTGCTATGGCTTTGGCTTCAAATCTAGCCTTTTGTGCACGTTCTAAGCATTGAGAAATACTCTCAACTATCTCAGCTCAAGCCACACTCCCAGCTTCCTCAACCATATTAGCTTAAGTCACACTCCCAACTCAAGTCACAAGAGAAGCCATTACAAATAACTCAGCTCACGCGCGTGCAAGATATTAAAGGCAGTTATAATAGATACGATTATGAGAGTAGAGTGATTTAGTTACATTGATTTGTAACAAACTCAATGAGACTTCATTGAGTATAAATATTTGTAAGACTTTATGATATTTAATAAGAAAAGATATTTTACAATTTTTGTTAGTTATGTGACACTAACATTAGGAGGGGTTTGTTTAAAATTTTAAAAATATAATAAACTTAACATATAGGGTGGAGTTTTTTTAATTTTTTTATATATATATATATCATATTTGAGGTTGTCAAATTACCACATAATATTTTAAAAGAATTGACAACTTTATATTAGAAGGTTTGGTAGAAAAAGTTTTAAGCCATCTAAAAGAAGATTGTATTGGAATAATTTAATAAAACTATTATTTAATAAATCCTTTCATTATTTGACTGTTATAAGATTTATATTAATTTAAAATAATTCAGTTGCAAAATTATTATTGTCTGAAATTACTATTTACTATATGAAAAGAAAAATATGACCAAGTATCATTGTTCTCTAAATTTTTCTTTTATTTTATTTTGTGTGATAGAATGTGCTTTTTTCTTCTTTCTTTTATTTTCTTTTTATTATTATTTGAAATTGATCTCTTATTGATAAATTTGGGTTGGATTCAATTATTCATGTCCTCCAGTGTATTCAAGTCCTGCAAAATCAATCGATTTATGGCGAGAACTATTTGCATGCTAGGTCAAAATACATAAAGAATGTACAGAGAATATAGAAGATATTGATCTTAATTTTCAATACAAGAATTAGTTACTACAACAATGCTTTTATACAAGCTTTATACAATCCTAACCTAACCTTAACCTGACTTATAACTACCTAACCATTTCTAGTTAACTGCTCTAACAACATAACATCTTTGATTAATATCTATAACAAACTAACTGATGAGAGATACACATGCAGGTGCAGTTGAGTGTGAGTTGCACTGAGTTGGTTGAGCTTCTTGAACTGCATGGCCTTGAGACTGAATATATGAGCCAGCAGGTTCTTTATCAGCCTCCTTCAAACTCATAGGATTGGGAAGGACTAAGAGTTTGCTTTGAAGATACTAAAAACAAGCCACTGAGAGAGGTTTAGTGAAGATATCTACAATTTGATCAGTAGTAGGAATATAGGCAATGTGTAGAGTCTTAACAGCAATCTTTTCTTGAACAAAATGATAGTCCACCTCAATGTGTTTTGTATAGGCATGAAAAATAGGATTATGAGCCATAGCAATAGTTGAAAGGTTATCACACCATAGAATAAGAACAGGGGCAGAAACATGAAGCTCAATAAGGAGGATGCCAAGCCAACAGAGTTCAGCTGAAGTCTGAGCTAAGGCTCTGTATTCGACTTCTAAAGAAGATCTGGACACAGTAGGCTGCTTCTTAGCAGTCCACGAAATGAGATTAGGACCAAGATAAATGCAGTATCCAGTTGTAGATCTTCTGTCAAGAGTACTACTAGCCCAATCTAAATTTGAGTAGGCATTATGAAGAAGAGGGCCACGAGAGAAATGCAGACCATGGGCCAAGGTACCTTTCAAATATCTGAGCAACCTTTTCATAGCAGCAAAGTGACAATTTAAGGGAGACTGCATGAATTGACAAGCAGTGTTGACTGCAAAAGCTAAATCTGGTTGAGTGATAGTGAGGTATTGAAGAGCACCTACCAAGCTTCGATAAAGAGAAGGTTAAGAAAAGGGTGAGACATCTTTAGAAGAGAAAGTGGAGTATTTAGAAGCCATAGGAGAGGAATAAGGTTTGCAATTACTCATGCCAGCTTTGGCCAAAATGTCTAATGCATACTTGTATTGAGAAAGGATATAACCTGAGGAAGACTGGATGACAGAAATACCTAGGAAGTAATTAATAAAACCAAGTTCCTTCATGGAGAATGTAGTACGCATTTGCCGAATGAAAGTTTGGATGTAATGAGGATCACTACCTATGAGTAGAATATCATCTACATAGATGAGAATGATAGTTATGGAAGTGGAAGTT